AACACTAGTCATTATGCATCTAGAAACTTTAAAAAATAGAGATATAATGGAATTTCAAATTTCAGAAATCAACCCCATCAAAATAACTTTCTCATGGAAAGTCAATAATTTTTATTTTTCATTTGAAATGTCATATTCATGTCTCCAATAATTCTATGTTTAGTTATTTTATTTAATACTAAATATTTCTTGTTTGTAAATAACTATAAAACTAATAAGGGAATCCTTATTTTTCTTCCAATAGATATAAACATATTAATACGATTAGTTCTAAAATATATTCTCTCTCCAAGTCGACATTTTTATAATAACCAGTGTGCAATATCAATTGAAAATTCAACGATTTTAACTTACGACTGTACATGAAATTTTCTAAAGCACTGTTAATGACTTTTTATTTTATGAACAATTGTAGGATAATTCTAAGTTTTGTACGAATATTTAATGATGTAGTATAAAATTCGATATTTTAGCTGAAATTTAATAAATTTTATCGAAATTCACTTATAACATTAAAAATTTATCTGTAATGACTGAAAATTACAACACATGTGTTAAGTATTTTTCAATGCGCATATTGAAACACGCTTAATGCCAGTGAGTTGATCACCTCAAAAGTTTTTCGTGGATATCTCTGCACAATTCTGAGTAGAAATGAAATATTTATATTTAAACAACTAACACAACAATAGATGTAATTATATTTCAGAAATTCCAATAATGAATTCTTTTTATTACTAAAACATTTTCTTTAGAAAATTTAATTAAAATTATTTACTCAATGAGTTGATAGCCGAGTCGGTTAAGACACCGAATTTAGATGCACACAAGCTGGCAGACGTAGATTCGAATCTCCCCCAGGATCATCTTTACTACAATATCTATCTCTCGCAGAATTTTTACAAACTATAATGTTCACTCTACAATAATATGTCAAAAATAAACAAATCTTAAAATAATTAAAATATTTTTTTTTATCTTATTTTTAATAAATAAATATCAGGGTTACTTTTAACCTAAAACTTCTGTCTCTTAGTTATTGTAATTTTCAATAGATGTTGAAACATGGAATATACTTCACAAATGTTTAGTAAAGTTACTATACAATTGTACATATAAAAAACTTCCATTATATGCACATTAAAACTGCTACAGAAATTTTTTACAGTGTACTTTTTACTAAATATATTGAATGTATAACTTCCCATATTTTTAAAGATAATATCATAGGGAAGATGTTTAAACAAATTCGGTTCAGCCGTTTTTTTTAATAACGAAAAAAGCATTAAAATACTCAAGTAAAGGAGACTTGAGATAGATTCTACTCTTTAGATAATTAACATTATTGACATCTGAGGTCAATATAAATATTATAAACAAAAAAACTGAAAGATGATAAAGTTACGGATTTTAATAAGTGAAAAGTTCGTTGTGAAACATTATTAAAGTTTCAATAAATGATGGAATATAATTTTTGTTTAAATTATTTGAATAATTAGTGAAATTTCATTCGTAATAAGTACACCCTAAGTAATCCTCATCCCATACAGAATGTTCTTAATCTCTATTGATTCCATTTTGAAGATGCTGAATGGAAATTTTGAACTTTAGAAACGTCAGTATATATGCAGCATCGAAAATATCGTTTTTGAAAAATACAATGTCGTTAATATAAAATTAATATAAAATTTTTGACTTTGTTTCTCTTTAAAATGTAAGAATGTGATATTTCAATAAATACCTGAAACGTACATACTACTCATTTTGATAACTTTTACATGTGTGGATTTTATGCTTATATGATACAGATAAAATATCGGATCTTTTGGAAATTATACCAATTCATTGTACAAGAAAAAATTTATTACGTGTCAAGTAGTAATTAATATAATATAAAAACTTGAATTCGTATTATCATTGATTATTATTAGTAATTGACAATTAAGTTAATACATTACTTTATCCCTACACTGTAAATCCCAGTTTTCCAAAATGCATTATTTTAATGCGGATAAGTGTGTAAAATATGACGTCACTCATTTGATTAACATTTTAGTCACTTTTTACACACTTAGATCTGCGTTAAAAGTGACTACAATGTTGATCAAATTAGGGACGTCATATTTAACACACTTATCCGCATTAAAATAATGCATTTTGGAAAATTGGGATTAACAGTGCAGTAAATCAACTTCACATAAGAAAATTCCTTCTGACGATATAAATGCGACTCATTAGTCAATGGGATTAATTAAAACTTTTTTCGATTATAACAGCTAAAAAGTTCGTTTAAAACAGATTCCAACTCTAACTATTCATTAATAATTATGGATTAGGATTCGCGTTGAATACTGTTTATTCGTAACGTATATGAAATTAAGTTAACGCTTCATCTTTCTAGAAAAATTGAAGTAATTGAATAATATGGTGGAGTCTTACGAATAATTTACAGTTGGGTTATTGAAGAATTATTCTATTATAGTTATCTAACGTAAGCATAAATTTATCATTGTATTCTAAAATCTAAACTGAAAAAGAATAAGAGGGAAGTCTCGAAAAATAAATATGCTAATAATTTCAATAATCGAATTTATAATTTATTTATCTTGCTAACATTTAATAAGTTTTTAATTGATATTCTTATTTTTCTGTTATAAATTAACAAGTAAATACTAAATGAAAGATGTTTTATTAATTCGCTGAGTTTAATTAGTTCAAAAGATATTTGCACTATGTGTCATTAATAAAAGTATGATTTCTTGTTATTACAAATTAAATTATGATATTACATATAAATTAAATGCAATTATTGCAAGAATAAGCTTTTATCATTATACACATTAAGGAATTTCTATAAACTATGGAAAATCTTTTATAGAGATATTATATTTCATATTTTATCAGTATTAAAGATAATTTATTGTTACGAATATTATATGATAGTTGTAAACAATAAAAACTATTTATAACTATTTAAAAAAAAAAAAATTTTCATATAGAGGTCCATAACTACTCTCAAAACCGTATTGTTCAGTTAAATCGTATCATTACAAAAAAAATCACTCAATGGAATTTATTCTGACTAGTCTCTAATTTCCTCTTCATTATTTTTCTTTTTTTTATGTTCAGGCAAAATAGATGTCTTCATTTATATTTATGATATCTCAAACAAAAAAAAACCCCGATTTATACATGCATGTATGCACATTCATAGATATATATCTCCATACATTATCAGAAAAACCGTTTAGTATGCCTTCACGTACATTAAAGCGTGGAGACATTATGACATTCTGTATTTCGAAAATCGATATCCAATGGAAAGTTAAAGAATATGTAATAGACAACAAAAAACGTCAAAGTGTATATGTATGAAGTCGTTTGAAAAAAAAATAGCTTAACAGAGACTAAATGCATTATTTTTTTATATATGTGTTGAAAATAAATTCATTCGAATGAAATAAAAAGCATAAAAATGCGCTAATAGGTTATAATGAATCAAATAATATTAATTATTTATCACAATATTTGATGGATCCAACAAAAGTTTCAATTGTTGATACAATATCAATGATAACCATTTGTTGAAGATAACATTAAAAATCTTAGACAATTCTATTTTTTATTTATGTCATAAGAAATTATACCTTTTCCGTCAAATTTTAAATAAAGAGTAATATTGTACAGATTTCAATTCAATTGAAATCACACTGTAAATCATAGTGTTTCAAATAAAAACACTACGATTTGCAGTGAATATATTAAATATGAGTATAAGCTAATTATTGACATGAAGATGAATTGAAACGTAAGTCTTTGTACATAGTATCAGAAAAAATATTTACAGTGTCTATTTTAAAACTACGTATTCCAGAAAATCTTATAACACAACTCATTCTCATTGAAAAATAAGTGGATTATTTTCTCAAGCATACCAATTTTCCAAGAAAAATAATTATCAAAAGTTATTATTTAACAGTACGATAAAAATATTTATTTATTTTTTTTGGTTCCTACTTTACTTTTTATCGTGATCATTATAATATCATTGTCTTTTCAATGTATTCATGATTATATTATCATTAGTTCCATAAAACTACACTAACTTAATCAATACTCGTATTATAACGATAGAATTTATCGTCATAATATTTCGTCCTGATAGAGTTATGGTGTTACTATAAGTATTGATTAAGTTGGTGTAGTCGACCATTTGTAATAAATACAATTCGTCGTGCATTGTATTAAGGATTATTTTAAAAAATTAGAATCATTAATTTTCAGTATTGATAACTTATATCATAATTTGTCTCGGTGGTTAATGAAAAATAGTCAAAAACTATCATTAATTTGAGTAGATTTTACAAATTAAAAATCAAATTTTGTTTTCAACTGCCAATAAAAATTAATTATATTATTTAAAATGATAATTCTATTTTCAGATCATCTATTGTAAATTTATTTTTACGTATTTATTATTTTCCATTATTAAACTCATATTGACTTAATTGAATCTAATCAAAAGTAATAATTTGTAATTAAACTTCTGCCTCTATTTTTGCTCTCAATTAATTATCGTTAAAAATATTTTGTTAAGAAGTTAACTATGACAAAATAAAACAATAAAAAAATTCATATTCCATTGATACTCGTAAATTTTTATGAAGTAAACAATATAAAATATTTGACGTTGGGAAAACGTGAGTAAAACCTTAATTTTTAGGACAGCTGGTTATCGTCATATCAAGCGCCTGTAATAATTTTTGGGGGAAGTTCCTATTGACAGAAAAAAACTACAACGAAATAAAAAACTTGTAAGTTAATGAAATAAATGGAGAGAAAATTTCCTTGTAATGCTGCCTGAAATTTGGAATTATATTATGAGTCATTAAATAGGAAGAATACTTAATAAACACCAAGTCTGTACGGCAGCAAGAAAAAGAGAGGTTGCGCGTACGTAAGAAATTACTACGCACGCGTCATGACGTGAAATTTTCTGTCTCGTATCTCGACTATATTTTTAGGATCATTGTACGGATGCGTGTCAACTGGAAATATCGTCAATTGTTTGTTGGATTTATAATCAAGTGAATTAACTTCTTCATGAGTCTGGAGATTCATTGACATTATCATTGACATTGAAGAACTGTTAATATTTAACTAAACTGTCACAAATAATAATTATGTATTGATTGCGTGAAGTGCATGTATTTTTGAACTAAAATTGTAGCAAGTAGATAAATAAAATATAATGAATTAAAGAAATAATCTTAATATCCGGTTATGATTATTCACAAACAAAAGAATGTGACAAAAGAAATATACCGATAGTGTCAACAAATATAATTTCTTGTATTTATCGATAACTTATCGATTTAGTCATGAATATACCTATAAATTCAACTACTAATTTGATTTCAAACTTAGACTTAAATGATACTGATGACATGTACAGATGTGGTGCTGGATGGGATACTTTTCATCAAGAATACATCAAATTTCATGGATGGGCTAGTTTATTAGTTTGTACCTTTGGTTCGATAGCAAATACATTAAATATTGCAGTTTTAACTCGTCATGAAATGAATTCACCGACTAATGCCATTTTGACCGGATTAGCAGTTGCAGATTTATTGGTAATGCTGGAGTATATTCCATACGCAAGTCACATGTATTTATACCACAGATCACGTCGAGATACGTATACATATGGTTGGGCAGTATTTGTCTTAATTCATTCGATTTTCACACAAATCTGTCACACAGTTTCTATTTGGCTGACAGTTACTTTGGCAATCTGGAGATACATAGCAGTAGCACATCCTCAAAGAAATCGTGAATGGTGTAGTTACACAAGAACAGTTGTTGCTATAATTGGAGCTTGGATAATTTGTCCATTAATCTGCCTTCCACTTTATTTTACAACTGAAGTGACACCCAAAGATGAAGTATTTACGTTACATGGAAATCTACCGATTGCAAATTCTACCGAACCACTTATTAATGGAACAGTTTGGTTCGTTAATTTAAGTAAAACTATGAAAGCTAACGATCTGCTCAATTTACTTAATTTTTGTACGTACAGCGTAGTGATTAAATTAATACCTTGCGTAGCTTTGACAATTTTAAGTTTACGTCTCATCATGGCACTCATGGACACGAAGAAGAGAAGAAAATTACTTACAACTACGTTCCTAGTAGAAGATTCTAATGATCGAGCTCAAGATCATGTATATAAAATAAGAAGAAGTAGAAAAAAATCAGCTAGAATGTTAGATAAAGAAAAACAGACTGATCGAACTACAAAAATGTTATTGGCGGTGTTACTGCTGTTTTTGCTGACTGAGTTCCCACAAGGTGTTCTTGGACTACTCAGCGTGATACTGGGTACTGAGTTCTTCAGAACTTGCTACGTAAAACTTGGTAAGTACAGAGATATTATTTCTATTAGAATTTGTTCATTACCCAGACAAACATAAAATTCTTTTTTTTTCCATTTTGATTGAATTTTTAGTATTTCAAAGTAATAATTTACAAAAAAATACTTGTTTTTAGAGGCATTTAACACAAAAAATATTCTATACAACTCGTGGTACTAACTCATAATTTTTTACTTTTAATAATTCTTCTTGATTTGTAAAATTTTAGAATGGAAATATTAGACATTCTGAAAATAAGAACCAATAGTATTTGTGATATAAAAATTAATACACCTTAATGTCAGTAAAGAATAAAAAATGCATCCATTGACAAAGAATTAATTCTTACTGATGTGAAGAATAAAATAAACTGAAATTGAAAGTAACTTCTAAAAAAGATTATAATGACTGAGGAAGAATTTTTTTTAATTTTACGGAGCGCTTCAGTAAATTTTACTAGGGCCTTTCAGTGACGTGGGACTTTAACAGAATTTTTAGCACTAGATTTACTAAAAATAGCACACCAAAATCATTTAACTGTTAATTCTTTCGTTCTTTTTATTTTCTTTATCTTTTCTACCAAATTCAGAATTTCGATAAAAACTCTCTCAATTTTTATTTTTCTTGCAACTACGATTACACCAAATACATTTTGTAATAATAGATAGAGACGTTCTCAATCTGCGTCGACTGTTGTGCCTCGACACAGTGTCGGTTAATACAAAAAAATATAATGAATAAATGAATAGAATTGAGATTTAATTAAATCTAAAGTAAGATTTATAAATAAATATATATTTTTCAAGTGGAAGTCAAGCGGAAGATAGGAAAGATAATAAACATTTGCCGACTGAAATGATGGAATTATATTGAATTAAGAGAACCTTGAACAATTTATTAAATATTTAACCGGCTAGCTCTCACAATCAAATATTAAAAATAAAGTGTGAGACTTTGTCTGGTGTGTCACCACTGGTGATCACTCAAACTCCGCTTAGATCATTAATTTTATATTTTCAATACACTCAATTTACTTAAACCTAAATTTACTACCGACGCAACGCATCCAAGAATTTGAAAAAACCCCCGAGAACTTACACTTCACTCTGAAACGCCGTTTGCTGGATAAATATTTCCTTAATCTTGAGATATGTCGGGATTCAATAATTATTAATTGATTAACAATATTTCGGTTCCAATGGGTCCTCGCAAATAAATTTAATTTTTCTCACAGGTGTGGGATATCGCACAGGTTTCAGTGTGAAAACTTTCTGATTGTCTAAGTATCCGATTAGTGACACGGTGGAAGGAGCTCCTGTATAGTTTTTGTAAACAAACAAAATTACCTAACCTTACATAACCTTATAGGATTGTTTAAAAATTTACTTAATTCGTCATTATTTTTTCTAAACACCTCGGAAAAAATTTGGTGTTGTATCTGGCATTGATCATGATTGTGTTTTTTTGTGTTTTCTTGTGTTGAACTTAAGTGATAAGGAATTCAAGTAAATTACTTAGATCTCGCTTTATTACACCGTTTAATAATCAACAACTTAGATCCCGCTCTACAGGCATTGTAAGTTACGTTTATCACGCCTGCGTTAAATGAAAATGATTAATATTAATGCTAGTGCAGAATATATTCATATTCACAGGTATAAATTTATGTATTTGATGATGATTAGACTGGATTTTACACCTTGGTATATTCAGATACCCAAGACGAAATTTTCACAATAATTTTGTACTGAATATCTTGAAAACTGTTTGATTTTTTTGGAAAAACTTTTTTTTTCTTCGTAAACTTTTATTTTTCTTTTTGTTCCTCTTCATCTTTTTTTTCCGTTGGTATTCTATCCATTGTTAACACTGTTAAGAACTGTTGGTATTATCTTTTTCTTTGTAATTGATGGCGATTCTGCATCTTCTGTTTTACGCTTATTTTTATAACTTTTTTCGGGCTAAATCAAAGCATTTTCAAATGGACTTAAATCGTTATCATTATTTTTAAGACTCACTTTTTCTGGTAAAGTGAATATTTTGTGATTTCTGAATTAATTTATAAGAAACTATTAGGCCGTTTCTCATAAGATCCTACTATAAGAATTTATCAGTAAGTGATGCCGTTCGATTCTTCGTCTAATTATATACGATTATATAAGAAAAAATGTTATGAGATTGAATAAAAACTTGTTGGTAAACAATTTTTATCAATGTATTAATTATTTTTATAAGAAACTTTGGGACTGTGTCTCATAAGAACGTTTAAAAATTTATCAAGCATGAAAATGTGAATTAGAAAATATTCTCTCATCGCGATATTTTCTATTAAGATTTTGATTTTCAATTAATACAATGTTTAGAACGAAAATAAGATTATTTACTATTAGATGGTGGAGAAGTTTAACCTTTTAAATATTGCAAAATCCTATTTAGGGTTGATATATGACAACAATAATTTTCAAGTCGAATTTGCTGATCGACATCAATTCATCTCCTAATGGATTTTGGAGGAGTCCAATGTTTTAAGCCAGATTATGCTATTTAATCAATCAATTTCGTATTCAAATCTCGAAATAGAAAAGTTCTGAATTCTGTAGGTTCGCGATCACCATTTTAATTTCGATACAGATTTGTATAATCATAATATACATTTTTCGAGTAGCGAGAATTTCTAAACTTTTCCTATCCAAATATGATGTTTCTCACAGAAGTTTTAAGAATACCTATAGGATTGAACCTGTTCCAATAAGAATGTTTAAGCTAGGAGAGTAGTTTTTAAGTATTATTTTTTCATCGTAATCATCCGAATCCTAGAGAAACTGTTTTCTTTTTCACCTATACAATCAAATATAATCCTATTGACCGTAGTCATGATGAAATCATAATCCTTTAAATATTATTTCCCGATTAAAACATGTCCGATTTCATTTAAATATATCTCATAATTTCCTTCTAATTAAACAGCAATCCGTTTAATTATATTTTTTGATTGACTTTGATTTATTTTGATGAACTTTATTTCCATTCAAAATGGAAAGACATTCAATTACCATTCAGTGATTCTTAATTAACATTCTGTTATTATTCCGTAACCTGTAAGTAACATTCATTCAGGTTTAGTGACTTCGACCTTTACAGTGTGATTATTGTTCATTGATAGTACTACTAAATAAAGATTAATATATTTTTGTGCGCCGGACTTCTCAATGGCTCTGTTCCGGCTCAATCATTCCTATCCTTACCGGCTAGGTTATTCAAAGTTGACATTTTGTCAACACATGAACTTATTTGATCTTAATTTGTCAGTTCGAAGAAAAAAAAAATACAAAAAAAAATATCTGATTTTCTCCGAATTATCGAAGATAACGGAGAAAAACATACTTAAATATTTAATGGTATTAGGAATAAAACAGTAATTTTTCAGAACAAATTCAGTCTTCATTAAAGAATCATAAACCAGATGAAATTTTTCGACTTGGGATTTTACCTGTCATATTTTTACAAATGACAATTATTCTGTCTCTACTTTAAAGTATTTGCTACTTAGCAAACTCGACCAATGTCCGAATTATTTTAAATTTTCAATTCAGATAGATTAAAGGGAAGTCATGTCTTTATGTTTTAGAATAGCTCAGTCACTAGCGTACTCGACTCTAGACCCGAGGATGCCAGGATCGAATCTCACCATCATCAGGCTTTCTCAGACAACGTTTCTAATAAATTTCATTTCAGGTGTATATTTAAACAATAAATCCGTATAAACAAAAAACCTCTAGAGCATATAAAAATTTCCTTTCGTTTCAATCATTTTTTTTCTGCGGTAAGGAGATAAATTTCAGTAATCAATGATACATAATTTTCTTCAAAATTCTCGTTATGTCATAAGAATAAATCAGAAAATTGCATGAGAAATATCCCACTTCTTATAAGAGTTGATGAAAAAATGCCTAAGAGTTTCCTGATAGATTCTTATCACATGATGAGAATGAATCGGAGAACTGCATCAGAAATAGCACTTGTTTTATAAGAATTCATAAGACAATGTCTCATCGATATTTATGAAAAGTGTGATATTTCACATGCAATTTTCTGCTTCGTTTTTATGAAGTTTTTTCATCAGATTATACCCGAATATTTAACCAGGGAATGAAAGACTGGTCGAGGAATATCTTTTTCTTCTACTTACGAATCCAGTATATGTATCACATATTCGAAAAATGCAGCGCTTTTCATTTAGCTAGACTCTATATGAACAATGCCCTAATCTTCGGGATACTTTGCGTAGATGAAACCTGTAATTTTTCCTTTTATATGGGTAGATAATCATCGACAGTACTACATATCTATCTGCACTCACGGTGACTAACACGGATAAGCGTTGTTTTTTTATCATTATGCAGTAAACAGTTTTGCTCCTCTGCTTGCAAAAACTTGATCAATAGATTTTAATGCTTTACATATCGTATGATTCATATATTTTACTTTTTTCGTTGTAAAAAAATTTAGCCGCTGGATACACTCGTACAACACTGAATCCTCAATTAAAATGTCACAATAAATTTTTACTATTAGCAGGTTTCAGAGTAAAAAGAGCTCAAATCAGAATTAGAGCAAGTATGAACACATAGATAATTCAAAAGTTTTCATAAAGTGCGTGAGGATGAAACATTTGTAGAATTTGAAGATATGATTGGTTTGAATGTCGGTTTTAAGAAAAAATCTTCATGTTAATTGGTAGTGTAATAAACTCATTAAATAATAAATAAAATATGACACTTTAAATATGTACAGCACAGTCTCTTAGGAAAAAAACTGTCCAGACTTGCAAAACTAACGGCCTCACTAACGAATGTGCAGAAAAATTTATAAAAAAACGGTCTAGTTGTAATTGAAGAAGCTATTTTACCCGTAACAAGATTAAACTCTTGGCAGAGGTTATGCCAGACAATCTGTTTTGACTTTGGCAGAAATTTCATAGGAGCTGATATAAAATTCAAGAGACGCGAGAACTCAAGAATAACTAACTATTTTGTTTGTTTAATAAATTGTTCTATTTTTGTTAATTAACTCCATGTTAAAAGCCGTTATTTCAATAAACCGTTTCCGTCCCCCCTCCACGCATATCGAATTCTGGACTCGACTGGACTCGACTAGCTGTGGGCTGTAGAAGGTATTTCTTTGAAATCTGGGGGAAAATTCACTACAAGAGCATAAAGTCATTTCTAGATTCATCATTACCAACGGCACTCACTGGTCATTCAATCTTTAACGTTAATTAGGTTTGCATTCTAGCAAGTATTTTGAAGCAGAAAAAGAATAATTGTCATTTGCGAAGATATGGCAGGTAGAATGCAACTCAGAAATTATATATTTATCCCAATGTCCTATGATAGGATTTTATATTATTTAAAAGGAGAACATTTAAACAATTCTATAGAAAATCAATAGATTCGAAAAAGAAACACGACTTAGAAATTATTTAAATAATTAATTAAACCTCCATAGGATTTTGCATTATTCAATAGGTTTGACTTCTCCGTACGTACGTATGTATGTGTGTACATTTGTATGGGCGGCAGCATTTTTTCCGTTTCTAATATCTTAAAAACGGATCGAGATATCAACCCTAACTAAAATTTATTCGAAATTTATTATTATAAAGAAGATCTGGAAGGAATTTAAACGGATTCAGTCAAGCTGTTCTTTTTTATAACAATAAAATTAATAAATAGATAAAAAAATTAGCTATCAAGAATACTTTTATGCCAAACAATAACAATTTCATTCGAATATTAAGTTGATATTGACTAGATATTATTGTTTACAACCAAATATTACCTTTAACAATCACGCATTGTTTATAACTACTCAAATTCGTAATAAACAATTGAAAATTGTATTAATGATGTTTTTGTCGAAATCATATCATTTATGATGAGATATGACTCTTAACAATTACGCATTATTTACAACAATTAAAATTTGTTATTAATAATTGAAAATCGTATTAATGTATCAAGAGATACGGTAGTGTCTCGTGTGCCAAGCATAAATCGCCGCCATCTAGCCCTTACGTCACGACGAGGCACTACTGTGTTTCTATACAAATTATAAGATGATTCTTGTAGGTTAGAATTTTTAAATTAAAATTTTTTTTCTTATTATAACATAAACATGGACTGAAATTAAGAATTTGCTCGGAAAGCGATCGTTGACTTTCGATTAAGCATACTATAAAGTATTATCATTGCTTCATTCATAATATACGAAATTTTTTCAATTTCGTTGCGCAAAAATTGAGTAAAATGAGAGTTTATTCATGGAGCAATCATACGTTTTTTTAATCAAGTTGGTGATCAGAGTTTTTGATTGCTATGAAGTTCTTTCACTAACAGATTATAAAGTTATACAAATAATGAAAATATTTTCTGAACAGATTTTTTTTTTTTTATTCCTTTTCAGTTCATATGTACAGAAAATGGTAAAATCTCATTAAAAACAGCCCCCTCCTTCTGGGCTGTACAAAAATGTGCGCCAAACATAAATAACGACAATGATGAAATTACAAAAAGTCCTAAAATCATTAAACGCCAATTATTTAAATCTACGAATCAATAATATTTAAAATTAATTATTTTCTTCGGTTTTTTTTTTTTTAAATTTAGTACGTTTAATGACACAATAAACATTACAATCAAAAACTTGGCGTGACTGTTATTCATTAATTGGCTTAAATATTTTCAATATTTTCACAATTTCATGCTTCTATTTTTATTGTATCATTAAACGTGCTATATTTGTTTTCAAAAAAAAAGAAGATATTATTTATGATGAGATATGACACTTAACAGTTATGCATTGTCTATAACAATTTGAATTTATTATTTATTTATTGTTTATAACTATTTGAATTTTTTAAAAGCAAACCTATTAGATAATGCAGAATCTTATGAAGGTTTGATTAATAATTTAAATAATTTCTAAGTCGTATTTCCCTATTGAAATCTATTCATCCCTTATTGGATGTTGTAGATGTCAAACCTATTGAATGATGCAGAATCCTATTGAGGTTCGATACATAATAAAAAAAATTTCTTAGTCGCATTATTCTATTCAATTACTTAGTTTCCTTTTCAAATGTCTTTTATTTTTATACCTATTCAGATTTGTATAATCCTACTAGACTTTTTGCGGGTGGTGAAAATTTCTTACCTTTCCCCATTTAAATATGATGTTTCCTATTCAAATTCTAAAAAATCCTATAGGATTTAGTCTTCCTCAATAAGAATGTTTAAGCAGGGCATTCATTAGGTTCAAGTGACATTTTTTAGTGACTACGACTTGTGCAGTGTATATATTGTATTTGTGTAGTGCTGAGAAATAAAGATTACTGTATTTTTATAAACCAGAGTTTCCTAATTGCTCTGTTCCGGCATACTTATTCGATAGATAGCGTAGAAGAACTTTCTGACCGAAATTATAAAAGAAAATAATTTAATTTTGAAATTTTGTAGCACGATAGGAAAGTATATAGATAAAAATATATAATGAAATCAATATTTTCTCGTTTATGAATGAATTTTGGATTAGTATTAAAAAAAATATTGAGTGTCCAGAATTAGGGTGGTTTTCCTATTTTATTGTTTTATTTATTTCTAGTCCTGGCAAATTTGTTGTGATCTCTATCAATTTATTGGCACCAATTAGTGAGTGCTAATCATTTTCGGAAAAGTAATTTATATATATTTCTCTTATACCCCCGATTGAAGTTAAAGTTTGCTCTCTGTTTTCGAATCACAAAGCAACATATTCTATTCCGCATGAAGAGACAAAATATCGTTCCCACACTGGTTAAGGCGGATGTTGTCTTTTCCTGCGAGAGAGAAAACGTCACTCTTCTGACAATGAGCTGTTAGTTAGTGTGTTTGAAATATTTAAAATAAACTAACTAATATATTTCTATTTACATACATACTTTTCTTTTTTCAGGTGAACTTATGGATATCTTGGCTTTAATAAACTCAGCGATAAATTTTATTCTATATTGTGCCATGAGCCGCCAATTTCGAACGACGTTCAATCAGTTATTTTGTAGACGAAAATTATTTGGAAGATGGATGCCTGTTCCTCAACAACAAAACAATAATGGACACACTGTTGCCGCTCACACTGTTACTCAAATTACGCAAGTCTAGCGTATTCAAAGCTGTTTGTCATGTTAGAATTTGTTGTGATTCATCGCGTTGCTAAAAATCACAATATTATCAACTTCATCTGAATATGATTCCAATTATCAACCACCAGTAATAAAATTCAGTAAATTGAGTAACAGCTACTTATTGATTTAAAATGGATTACAATGAACGATCGCAATTTATAAATATATTTATTATGGTAAATCGTGTGTAGACTTTAAAATTCTGTTCTGCGAACTGATAATTTCAATGAATAACTATCTTAAATCCTCATTCCATTTTTTGGAATTTCAATTTATTTCATAATTATACATGCATTTTAATAATTTACTATTCTTGCCAATGATTCTACAAAAGATGTGTATTTCGTGGAGAACCAGGCAATAAAATATGGATTGTCGAATAATTTGTCCAGCTGCTAAACTAAATTTTGCTGTTTAACGAGATGGACCGTTAATACAAAGGAAAATTGAAATATATATTCTATGTAATATAATCAAAGAACCAACCATTGGAGTTTTTAAAATAAATAAGAATGCACTAAAATTAACTTCATATACGTAATATTTTTGTAAGTAACGAAAATAAAATAAAATAAACGTTGAGATCAATTTAATGATAATTCATTTTAGATACTAATGTGTTAATTATTTATTTAGAACTAAAATGTTTTAATTGATGTTGAAAATTCATAATAATTGATGTATTTTTAAATTTAAAGTACAATACGACATTAAAATATTAAATAAACATTATTTTTTATAACAGTTAGAAATTATACATATATAAGTTTTAATTATCAGAGCTTTTCCATAAAACATAAATTTTGCGATGTAAAACAGAAACTATTCTTGTCATATTTTATTGTAATAAATTTGCAATTTTCTGTACAAAATGTTTGGCTTAATATTCTTATTGGAAACTTGTATTTCTATTTTATTTTCTCCATAAGAATAGCAAAATATTATTTCTAAGAACAAAAAAATATCCTATCAAGCTGCATAATTAAAAAGCTGTAAAAATTTTCTTTATGGTACAAGAGATGTTAATACATAATATGTAAGATTTTCAATGGAACAAAAATAGAAATTCTTCATTTAATAACTACATTAAAATTTTCGTCAATCTAATTTGTCATACAATTCGTGGGAAATTGTAATACTGAAATAAAAGTTATTCTATTAACAGTTTGCAGACATTAATTCAAATTAGTTGTTAGACTTTCTGAAATCGGACATTACAAATACAATTAACTATATTTACGGAAGTTTTTCTTGACAAACGTTTTGATTCTTATCTCATTAACATATCCTAATAAATCTTCTTAATAGATTTTTTAGTAATTATTTAGTTTGAGTTTGAATCATTATCGGAAAAGCCTGATATCATCAGCCTAGTGTTTATAGCCTATTGTTTGATAAGGTGTTGAAGACGAGTAGTGTTTGCCTGGGTAGCTGCAGCTAGAGTTGAGGCAGAAGATGACGAAGATGGTGTAGGATTAGAGGTAGCAGATAGATAGATTAGATTTATTAGAAAAATACGCTGTAATACAAGCTTCAAATTCCAGATATTTATTACATAAATCATTGTAACTTCTAACTATAGTTAAATTCGAGTATAAACTGTTAAGGTTAATGTGGAAGGCGAAGGAATAGTTGAAATAAAATTTATAGTACGCACGTAACATTAACAAGTGGAATATATTGTTTCATAGAACAATGAAAAGTACAGTTGCTAAATAGAATGATAGCTGACCAACAGATTTCTTGTTTACAGACCGACTATATATATTAGACTACTTTATTACAAAACTGTTGAATTACTCTAAGGACGAGCTTATCACTCATACATTGATACAGAGTATTGATGACCTTCGCCTCTCTCCAAATTACTTTACATTTGAATTTTGACAGTTACTTAGAGTACGAAAACTCAAATATCAACATAAACTACCCAATTTGCCATAAAAATTTATAATTCTTTACTTTTTATTGTTGTTAATGGATCTCTTTTAAAATTAGCTAACACTCTATGATCTCTAATTTTACTATCAAGTTTATCGTGTAGCAAAAATCTGTAGTAGTTCAGACGCTTTTTCCCACTTTTTGTCGGTCTTTTTCTGACTACCAAGTCATTATGATTTCTCGTTGGGTGGCCGTGGCCACTAAACAGCAGCAATTCATTTGAATAGTTAGGCATTTTATCATCGATAATCTTATAAATGAACATACATACAAGAAATTTTATTCTTTTTTCAATTGACAAGAATCCTAATGTCTCAAGCATATCTCTTATCCTCGTATACTTATTGACATTGAATGTTATTCGCATAGCTCGATTTTGTACAATTTGCGATTTGTTAATATATTCTCTACTCGATTTAATAAGAATCGTTAACTTTGCAAAACTACTCAACGAATACCTTAATCTACGTAAACAACTCATTTTCTGACTAATTTTACTCAAAATATACTCGGTATGATCATCAAATTGTAAATTTTTATCTAATATTATACCTAAATATTTAGTCTTATTAACTTCTACATAAAAACAGTCTTTTCCAAATGAAAAACAAGTAAACATTAAAAAATATTTCCAGTTCAGTCAGAGCATTATTAATTGATTTCTCTATTTCTCTAATACAAGTACTATTTTTAAAAATTATTAGATCATCAGCGAATAATCTACAATTGCACCCATTTCTTTTTATCAAGTCTATAAAATCATATGTATAAAGAAGAAATAACAGTGGTCGTAGTTTTAGCCTTGCGGCACACCATGCTTAACCAATTTTTTATCAGATAGTTTATCTATTTCAGATCAAACCAGATATTATCTATTTGACTTTGCTGAGTTCTTCGGTCTAAGTAAGAATAAAGCTATTCCAGTCCTGTACCCCTAATACCATACTCATATAGTTTATCTAGTAACTTAGTTCTATCAATAGTCTCAAAGGCACGCTTTAAATTAACAAATACAACTCTAACTATTTTTTTCTAATCTAACGAATCACGCCATAAACACAGCACATCATGAAGTAAAGTTTCACATAAGTGTTTACGTCTAAAACCCGACTGTTTTAGTTTTGAGACATTATTTGAATCAAAAAAGTTAACTAATTGGTCTTTAACTATTTGTTCAATTCTTTTTTCTATTACTGGTAATGTATTAATTGGTCTATATACTCTTCATATTCGAGATACTCCACATTTCTCAACCACCTCAACAGGTAGTGTTAATCGTTCCAATGTAGAACTTAGTTCAGCATTATCGAGCTTAAGAATCTCCACATCCTTGCAGGGAAGCTTTCGAACTCAAACAGACATATATAGTTCACCTATTTTAAGTTTAGTCAGCGCATATGCCACTAGGTGGCTACGCTAATTCTGTTTTCGGTGCTTTGCATGAGGAAAAAAAAATATATTTTAGAGCATTGGGACGCGGATTGGGATGTACATTTTTTTAACTGCTGACTAGAACAGGAAGCATTTTCCATTCTTGTCGTGAGTTGTAGTGCAGGAGCATTTTCCCACTCCAAACTCTTACTGCTTTGACAAGGGAAGCGAGAGCATTTAGTCCGAGAGCAGTGTGAATTCCCTATTCACTAATTTTAGAAGGATTGAAAAAATTTTTCGATGGTGGTTTCTTATAGAGGTTAACGAGAAGAGCATTTGTGCCAAATGCCATTGTTTGAAAATGATTTACTATTGTTTATCAACAATTGAAATTTGCAAAATGTATTTCTTGATTTTTCACTGCTTACCCAGCAAGAACCGTTCATTTCTTCGAAAAAATATAAATATCGTTTTTGTAGAGAATCGTGTTCTATACAAAAGCGACTGCGAGAGCAAATACTCACCTGTTACAGATAAAAAGGTGAAGTGCTCTGAACACGCGCACCAAAACTAACCTTTTTGAGCATTCCGGCGAAATGTGCCGTTGAGCGCCTTTTTAATTAATTTATATAAAAAAAGTATTTATTATCATTTTAAAAATTTCAAAAAATTATGTAATGTTTAGAATCGTTCTCTGAACATTTTCCTGTTGGAACTAAAAAAAAATTATTTTTTCTATTTTTTACACTGTTGTGAACATCTTTTTTTTTCCTTTTTTTTGTTAACTTTGTGCGTCTATATTTTTCAACAATCTTTGGACATTTTATTGCCATCTTAGGAGTAGATAGGATTTTTTCCGCTCTTTAAAATGACTATCTACATTTTTTTCGAAAAAACAAACGGTTCTTGCTGGGTTAGCAGTAAAAGGTCAAGAAACGCATTTTGCCGAATTTCGATTGTTGATAAAGAATAGTAAATAATTTCCGAACAATGGTATTTGGCCTAAATGCTTTTCTTGTTAACTTCTACGAAAAACCGACATCAAAAAATTTTTTCAATCCTTCTAAAATCAATGCATACTAGCATAGGGGATTTTTACACTGCTCGTGGACTAATTTTCCTTCTTATTCGTCAAAACCGAGTACTGTCCGTAAATCTCAATTATTCTTTCACATGATACCGCATCAGCGTTATTGTTATCATTTAATTGCGCGTTTTCGACTAATTACCACATCATTATTATTTAACCTATAAATATACTTGATTATAAAAAAATAAGAGCATTGCTCACCTTATTTATAATTATATCGAGTCATAAAACATTTGTAATAAGCACACCGTATATATATCTATCTATCTATGTATATTAATAATTATTGTACTCGTTCCGCCATTTTGGGGCAAACAGACACAGTAAATTTAAACTTTGGAAATTCCGTATTTTAATATTCTTGAGGCTAGTAACATAGTTTTTTAGTTTAGCAGTAATTTCGATACCAAGTTACCAGTATAAATATTCATTTGGTTTTTACCAACAAAGTAATCCAGTTATTTACTAACAAAATAATCCAAAGAGTACTTGCACATATTTACGAATAATAAGCTTTCCTAACTATCCAATTTTTGTTACTACTGTTGGAAGAAATGGATCTTCCTGGGGAGAATCTTGGATAACTGAGTTTAGTGCATATAAAACTACTTTCTTTTGAATTAAATCAACTTGCATCGTGTCTTATTCAATAATTATTCAATAAAAAAATTTGTAGTCAATTCAACTTATATTCACTGTTGTTGAGAATTAATTAATTCTCAAATTTGAATTACCAGTGGATAGGAACTTTGGTGGCCATCTTGGGACTAGGTCTATAACCAATCGACCTAGTAGTCAATAATGCTTAATCTAGTCACTCATTTGACTAATTTTTAGTGTCCCTATTGACTAATGAAGTTCCTGTCTCCATTCGTTTTCTGTTCTCATTCACGTGTACACGCATTCTAATTCTTTTCTCAAAAATCTTTTCTCTTTGAGTCAATCATTAGTGCTAGTGTCATTCTGAAACGACAGAAACATTCAGTTTCTCATTCTACAACTAAATCAAGTAATATTTCACTGTAAATTCAACTAATTGACTTAAATTTATTTTGCATTGTATTGATAGGCGAACGCCACGTGCACAATCATATTCTCTTGACTTGAGAAGCGTGTTTAGCTCATGTGAGAGGTCAATCCAT